CCATGTTATATTTAAATCAGACCAAAACTGTATGAGGAGTAGCATTTTGAAAAATTGTTTACAAATGGACAGATAGCTAGACAGATGGACAGACACTTTACTATTACATAAGCTCTTCTGGTCTTCGACCGGTAGAGCTAAAATGTTATTTACATTTAATGTACCAGTACAGAATCATTCTCTTTCTAAATTTGCATACAGTTCTCATTCTATTTTAGCAGGTGGAAAGATGTTTTGAAGCATTTAAACCATGACCCCACCCATCCCCAAAGTCAAATTCTTCTCCTTGGGTTATGAAATATATATAATTTGCAGACAGCTTTATAGTCAATGTATTTTACCTATTTTGCTATAACTTCGCCATAGAGAGGGGTGTGGGCTTCCAATTGAACAAACTTTCATTACATTCACCCATGGATGCTTTACACAAAGTTTGGTTAAAATTGGTCCAGTGATAATGGAGAAGAAGTAAAAAAATGTGAAAAGTTTACACAGAAGGTCAGAGAGACAGACAGATGACAGGTGATCAGAAAAGCTCACTTGATCGTTCCGTTCAAGTAAGCTAATTTTATATGAATCATTTATCAATAAACTAAGTTTAAGTCATGGTGGTATGAAATCCTGAGATATAGTTTTCAGATGTGTGTGCTTGATCACTTGTATCATCAGACATTTTTTTAAGAGGTGCTATCTTGTGAGCTTGTTTCTGAGTTAAAGTCCCTGCTTTTGAAAGTAAATGCCAGACTTTTTTCATCCATCAATGCTTGAGAAAAAGATTAGTCTTTGGATGTGGATGGACTTCTTTTATCAACCAATGCTTGTGAAAAAGATTCGTCTTTGGATGTGGATGGACTTCTTTCACCCACTAATGCTTGAGAAAAAGATTCATCTTTGGATGTGGATGCTTGGCTACTTGTGTCAGACATCAATTCCTGAGAAGAATAATCATTTTTGGGATTTTCAGATTCAGAGGTATATGCAAGAGGAATGCTTCAAATGCATCATCACCAGTAAGATCCAGTAGCTCTTTGTTCAGTGATGACAGTTTTTCTCTTAAACTTTTATTTTCTGACTTCAGAGCAATTTCTACATTTTCAAGACATCTAAGTTTGCTATTGTCTTTCTCGATTTCTTTGAAATATATTTCAGATTTTTTGTCCAACACCAACAGCTTGCGTCTTACTCTTTCTATGCCTGCTATTATCCCCTCACGTGTTTGCTGTTGCCCTTTACTTATGTCATACAATATTGCTTTGAGTTCAATGTCAACTTCATTCATCGTCTCCTTCATTACAGTACGGAGATCCTTTTTATTTTGTTTGGCCAAGGATGACATGTTCATTCAAAATTCCTACAAATAATAAAATTAGAAAATAAGTATATTATATTCAAAATGATGGACATTTCTTGAATTGAAAAAAAAAAAATTGTAATATTAATTGAAAGGCATTTATAAGTGGATCATCCACTAAAAATAATCTATACAAATTAAAATGCATTGTAACTGAAATGAAATTTTAAGTACACTTATAATTCATAATTTAATCATGCACAGGAATTGTTTATGAAACATACGTCACCTCTTTGGATACATGTATTTTGAAAGGGTCAAATTTGGAATATTCATCGTTATCAATATGGTTCGCTGTAGCTCAGTGGTTAAAACGTTTAAAGAATTTAAGCTGGGGAACTTTTTATGAAACAAGCATTTGCATTCAAGAGTTGAAAAGGGTCAATTTTGAATATTAATTGTTGGAAAAGGGTCAAATTCTGAAAATTTGTCATTAATATGGTTCACTGTAGACAGTAGCTCAGTAGTTTATGGAGGGTTTGCTTTCCTGCAATGCAACCGAGAGGCTAGGGTTCGATCTTGGCCACAGCAGAGCTAAGTTAAAACAGGTACAGTCCCATCGCCAAATGGGTGTGAATGTCACAGGTCCTCAGAGATTACCTTTAAAACGAGAGTCCCATAACACAGTAAATGAGGCACACTAAAGAACCCTCAATGCTCCCCATACATTATACAGGGGCTGACAAATAGATTTTTCAAGTACTTGTCCATGGGCGAGTACATGGTCAAAATTAAGGCAAGTGCTTAATAAAAATTCACTTGCCCGTCCCCAAAATTCACTAGTCCCAGGCGTCGGGCAATGGGATTTGTCAGCCCCTGTTAAAGAACCCTCAGGGAACACTTCTAGTATACCGGTCCCTATAAATATGGCGCTAAAATAGGTGCCGCAGAAGGCGGTGTACAATATAATATGATCGCGTGAGCAATCGACAAAATCGATAAAAAAGGCCACAAATCGCAAAATTGAGCCAAATATTGTGTTCCTTGTGAAAAATTGGGTTTTAAAAATGGTTTTTAAACACAGTTTTTTAAAATGAGAATTAAAAGGTTTCGTAAAATAACGTACTTGTTTTAGTAGATAAAACTCCATATTGCGTTGTTTAGGTATGTGGTCACATGATCAGTTTGCGACACTAGCCTAGTACTAGCGCTATAAAATATTACTAAAATGAAAGTAAAATCAGCCAGATGTTTCACGCATTTTAATTACCTGATATGTTTTGTGTAATTAAAAAATTATATATAAAGGTCGTAATCACGGTAATGTAGGCATTGCATAATCATTATAATATATTTTCATCAAAGAAGTGAAGACAGTCATACCAGAGACATATATACTATGATTTAAATTGATTTTATATGTTGTCACGTATCGTGTTTCCTTAATTGATACTGCATTTTTTAGGGAAAAAACTGCGATCATCAGCTGTGCCCAGCATTTTCCCCTGGACAAACCAAGAGTCACAATCTTCTGAGCTGCTGAACGAGAAAGGGCGAGATCCAAGGTTGAAAACAGTTGTAGGAAAAATTTAGAGGAATGCTTTAATAAAGATGATGGTGCAAATATAGAAATGCAAGAAGTTATTTCTGAAGTAAATATTTGTGAAGATAGGGAAAGTGATACTATGTGTAAGTAAGAATCTTTTGGAAAAGCAATCCAAACCCAAAATAAACCAATGTTTGATGTGGAGAATTTTGTGAATGACAATGTAGGGATGCATTTTTACACTGGTCTAGAAACTTATTGTAAGTTTTTATTTGTTCTTAGGACATTAGGTCCATCTGCTTATTGTTTAAAATATTTTTTTTTTCAAGTAGACAATCAAACTGTTTCTGTTGAAAACCAGTTTTCCATCACTTTGATGAAACTTAGGCGTTATTTAACCAATTTTGAATTGTCCAGATTTTTTTCAGTGTCTGTGTCAACTGTTAAAAATATTGTTTACACATGGATAATTTTCATGTCAAAGCAATGACAAGAAGTTAATATTTGGCCATTTCGTAGTTCAGTCAAATACTCTGCTCCTTCTGATTTTAAAGCAAAATTTCCTACAACTAAAATTATTGTTGATGGCACTGAATGTCCAATCAGAAAGCCTAAGGCTCCAAGGGCACAGCAGGCAACATTCTTATTATACAAGAATCGAAACACTATTAAGATACTTGTGGGCTCAACACCAGGTGGATTAGTTAGTTTTATTTGTTTGTATGTTATTTAACGTCCCTCTCGAGAATTTTTCACTCATATGGAGACGCCACCACTTGCCGGTGGAGAGCTGCAAATTCTGTCCTATTCTCGGCACTTACAGCCATTGAGCAATGAGGGATCTTTATCGTGCCATCACCTACTGCCACACGGGACCTCGGTTTATACGGTCTCATCCGAAGGACCGGTCTCCACGTCCCACAGTGGGATTCGAACCCGCGACGTAAGAATCAACTCCTTACTTCGCAACTCTAGAGTGGACGCTCTAACCACTGCGCCATGCGGGCGACTAGTTAATTTTATATCAAATGCTTGTGGAGCTAGTACAAGTGATAGGCAGATTGTAGAGAGATATAGTGAACCTATGTGATCCGAAAGACAGTGTAGTGGCTGATAAGGGTTTAAACGTTCAACATCTTTTTGCACGGATGGATGTCACTGTAAATATTCCAAACTTTTTCAGAAAAAGAAATAGAATGAGTGGAAAAATTCTTCTCAGGGATAGGAAGATTTCTAGTCAAAGAGTACACATTGAGAGAATAATTGGTTTAGGAAAAACTTCTTACTATTCCATTGAATAGCACAGAAACAAAAATATCATCTCATATCACTTTGTTTTTACATGTTGTGTAATTTTAGAACATGCATCATTCCTAGGGATGCATAAAGACTTAGTGCATATGTTGTCAAGTTTTCAAATCCTGTAATACATTTTGCTCATAACATCTTAAGAAGCAATGCTTTGTATAATTTAAAGAATCACAAATTCAGATAACAGTTTAATATGTAATAAGTTTACTTATTGAATGGTCTGTAAAAATGTTTGTCAAGTAATGCAGGTTTGAAATACACATAATAGAAGTTGTTTAACTTGTCAATCATGTCCAAAATAAAAGCATCATCTCTGGAAACTGATACATATTTTATGTCTGTCAACATGACAGACAATGAGTGTACATTCTTTTGCTCCAGTACATAGGATTTGGCCCTGAATCTGATAAAAGTAGTCATGTTTATCATCCAAGAAGTATGTATCATTTTCATCATTCTTAAAATATGGCACAGTTCTAACATTTATTGGTTTATCTCTAGATGTATAGGGACACTTAACTTCAACAATTAAAGTACTTGAAACAACCCCATCTGGCAAGGAAGCTAAGTGTGGGAAATCAAGTGACACAAAAAGTCCACAAGGACTTTGAGTTCAGTATCTTCCATGTATCTTTGCAAAGCAGTATTCTCGTGCCTTCTACCATGTTCCAAAGGGGCTGCTTTAATCTCTGACACAACTGTTAAAGAATTGGCCAGCTCTATCATATCTGTGCGCTCTGTAGCTTTGCAAATTCTACCATATGTTGATGATGGTAACCACAATGTTCTTTCATTTTTCCATGCAGAGTTATTTGCCTGACCCCTAGTTCTTTCTTCTATAGCATTAATTCTTTACTGAGTAATATTAAGTAGGCCAATTCTTTCAAGAAAGTTATCTTGAGGTGTAAGCTTCAAATGATCATGGTCATGTGCAACAGCATATGCATTAGCAGGTTCAAAGAGTTGAAATATAAGCATATTGGATATGCCTGAAAAATTTAAACAAAGGTTTCTAAAATAATCGTTGTAGCCGGGAGCATTTCTAAGGTGATCTGGTCTTGGATCAAAGTCCATATTGGTAAACTCGTCTGCACCTGGCATGCTGATGTTTTGTGACTTTATTGGACTACCGAGGAACCTCTTGCACTTGTGAAAACTCTGCAGTTTTTGTGTACATGTCTCTTCAACCTTTATGTTTCTGAACTCTTTGAACATGATAGAGGCATATATCACAGCGCATACATGCTTGCAGTGAGCACTAGGTCCCTCACCTGCAGGACACTCGCACTGGGCCTCCATTATAGACCCACTTCTGTCAAGTAACAAATCAATCTCGTATGAAATTCCTGTCCTGTATTCAGCATAGCAACTAGAGGCAACATAAGTTAAATCATTATCATAGGATATTTTGAAATACCGAATTGTTCGTTCATTATATAACCGCTTTACTTTATTGTCTAATTGATTATCAAATTTGGCCAGGTAACTTGTCAGTTTCTCAAGTGTAGTACCAGAAAACGTAGAGTCGGCATTTACATCAAAGTACGATAATGGGTCAGGTAACGTCATCCTATATTCGGGCTCTAAATCTTCTGTCTGTCCAAAATTCTGGTTTCTATCATAGGCAATTAGTCTAAAACAAAGGTAAAATGATCAACTTAAGCATTTCTCTATCCATTTGTTTTGAACAGAACGGCCGTGTTTACCATTGTATAACATGCGTGTGTACACACTGCACCGTAAACACCGACATTGTATATTAATATGTATACACGTGTTTTTAGACGCAGTTTATAAGTAGTCTTGAAAAAAAAAATTATATTTAGTAAAAGTTCTCAAAATATTGATAACTTTCCCCTAAACTTACTCTAATTTCAGCGTAAAGCATGTTGTACATATATTTATGTACATGTGTATTGTCCTCTTTACTCGATACAAAATGCCGTTAATTTACCGATCGGGGAATTATAATAATTATATATACCTTTCAAATAATTCTTTTTTACGACCAGAAAGTCGCGCATTTCTTTTTTTTAATTCATCTTTAAGGTCTTTGATGGTCATATTTGCATACTTTGTGCTTGAACACGCCATCGCTGCTTGATGTAAACAAATGATGCTGGACCGGGAACACTGCTGCCGTCTAGCGATCAGCAGCAGGAGATAACCGACTATTGTTTGCCATTGAAACAATACATCACATGTATTTCTTTACTGCTGTGTTACAGTTGCCCATCCTGCCGCCAGAGGTCATTATTTAACAAATTTGAACCTACACTACAGGAAAATTTTTCCATATTAACATGACTAATAATGGCTTTGCTGTCCTTGAAAAATATTTCTACAGATTTTTTTACCAATGCTGTTCTTGAGCTGATTTTTGTAATTTTTTTTCCTATCTATTCCTAAAACTTTGATTCCCCATGTCCATTGTGGTCTCACCCTAACTCTGGGGATCATGATTTGAATAAATTTGAATCTACACTACCCGAGGACACTTCCATATCATTATGACCAACCATCATCGGACAAAACATTTGAATGTGTGGCTTTCATGTTTCAAATATACATTTCTTTGATCTTATCACATGACCTTTTTGGGTTCCACTAATTTTTATCTCTTTGGGTTCCACTAATTTTTATCTTTTGACCTTGGAGGTTAAGACTGAATCTAAAATTTGAAAGCAAGTCAGGTGACCTGTATTATACCAGAAACAAAATATCTTTTAAAAAATACTTTAAAAATTGGGTAGGCAAATTTTGATCTGTCAGAGTATTTTAATCAAAACATTTATTGTTGGCTTACTGAGGAAAGCAACTGAACAATCACATTTTAATTTTTTGAACTTTCAGGAAAAGCAGGAACCAGAGGAACAAATTGCGGGTGTAATTACAAGCATTGACTTTGAAAGGTATGTGCAAGTGTGCATGTTGTATATATATATATATATATATATATATATATATATATATATATATATATATATATATATATATAAAATATAACATGTTTTACTGAAAATTGGGGAAATAAAAAAATGGGGAAACAAGAGGCCCATGGGCCACATCGCTCACCTGAGCACATTGGCTAGGCAAAAACACAAATCAGTACAGTATTGAAAAGATTACCCGGGGGGGGGGGATATTCCTTTGTAAAAATTTGATCCCCCATTGTGGATCCTCCCTATCCCAGGGGTCATCATTTGAACAAACTTAAATCTAAACTACCTGAGCATCTTTCCATATCAATATGACTAAACATAGCTTTTCTGTTGTTGAGAAACAAATATTTTTTTATATGTTCTTATGCAAAACTTTCGATCCCCATTGGGCCCCACCCTACCCCTGCGGGTCATTTGAACAAAATTGAATCTACATTACCTGAGGATGCTTCCATATCAAAACCAGAAGTCTCTGATGAGACTAGCTCTACTGGTTGTACTTATAAAGGAAGATAAAGGTAGTACTTGGATTTGAAACTTTGCAACAGTAATAAATAGAATAATGATCCTTGGTTTAGTCTGTTTTTGTGGGAAGATTTATTGCAATCAGAATAAAACTGTAGGAGGAGTAGCCTTTTAAAATAATTTTACAGAAATTTCGATTTAAGTAACCATGGCAACATCATTCAACAAAATCAAAAAGCAATAATGACAATTATGTATCTCAGTGTAGTCTGCTTGTATGACAAGTTATACCGAAATCAGACAAAACATGTAGGGGGATTAGCATTTTAAAAATTTTCTATTTTTAGTAACCATGGCAACACTATTCATCAAAATCCAAAACTGGTACAGAGAACTATGTATCTTAGTGTAGTCTACTTGTGTGTCAAGTTATACTACAATCAGACCAAAACTGTAGGAGGAGTAGCATTTTTAAACTATTTCAAGGAAATTTCTATTTTTAGTAACCATGGCAATACCATTCATTGAAATCAAAAACCGATACATAGAATTATGTATCTTTGTGTAGTCTACTTGTATGCCAAGTTATATTGAAATGAGATCAAAACTGTAGGAGAGTAGCATTTTGAAAGTATTTCAAGGAAATTTCTATTTTTTAGTAAACATCGCAACACTGTTCATCGAAATCAAAACCTGATGGACAGAATTACGTATCTTATTATAGTCTACTTATATGCCAAGTTATATTGAAATAAGATCAAAACTGTAGGAGGAGTAGCGTTTTGAAGGTTTTTTACAGAAATTTCTATTTTTAGTAACCATGGCAACACTGTTCATTGAAATCAAAAACCGATACACAGAATTATGTATCTTAGTATAGTCTACTTGTGTGCCAAGTTATACTGATATCAGACCAAAACTGTTGGAGGAGTAGCGTTTTGAAAAATTGTTTACAAACGGACTGACAGAGACAGACGGACGGACGGACGGACGACGGACACCTTACTATCGCATCAGCTCTTCTGGTCTCTGACCAGTAAAGCCAATGACTAATCATGGTTTGCAGTTCTTCTTCAGAAGATATTTTCCTATATATTTCTATTTAAGACTTTGATTCTCCATTGTGGCCTCACCCTACCCACCGGGGTCATGATTTGAACAAAATAGAATCTACACTACCTGAGGATACTTCCAAATAAATAGGATCAATCAAGGCTTTGCTGTTCCTGAGAAGAAGATTTTTTAAATTTTTCCTATACATTTCTATGTAAAACTTTGATCCTCCATTGTGGCCCCGCCCTACTCCCGGGGGTCATGTTTTGAATAACTTGAATCTACACTACCTGAGGACACTTCCATATAAATATGACCAATCTTTGCTTTGCTCTTCTTGAGAAGAAGATTTTTAGCTCACCTCAACGAAGTTGGGGGAGCTTATGTAATACCCTCGGCGTCGCGTCGGCGTCCCAGGTTAAGGTTTTTGGAGCAGTTTTCTTTTCAAGTACTTATATGGCCTATATTAGTTAGAGATGCATGGAGGATGCTTTTAGTGTGTGTGTTTTATTGTACCAGTCAAGGTTTCAGATGCTGCAATTTCAGCTAAAGAATGACCAGGTTAATGTTTTTGGAGCAGGTTAAAGTTTTTGGAGCAGGTTAAAGTTTTTGGAGCAGGTCTCATTTCCAAGTAACTATAAGCCCTATATTGACCAAACTTGCATGGATGATACATCTAAGGATGCACACTACTGGACTTGCTTCGGATGCTGGATCTGACCTACATTTTCCGGATGAGTGACTTGGTTAAAGTTTTTGAAGTAGATCTCATTTCCAAGTAACTATAAGCCCTATATTGACCAAACTTGCATGGATGATACATCTAAGGATGCACACTACTGGACTCGCTTCGGATGCTGGATCTGACCTATATTTTCCGGATGAGTGACCAGGTTAAGGTTTTTGGAGCAGATCTCATTTCCAAGTAACTATAAGCCCTATATTGACCAAACTTGCATGGATGATACATCTAAGGATGCACACTACTGGACTCGCTTCGGATGCTGGATCTGACCTATATTTTCCGGATGAGTGACCAGGTTAAGGTTTTTGGAGCAGATCTCATTTCAAAGTAACTATAAGCCCTATATTGACCAAACTTGCATGGATGATACATAGAAGGATGCACACTACTGGACTTGCTTCGGATGTTGAAACTGACCTATATTTTATGGACAGTGACCAGGTTAAAGTTTTTGGAGCAGATGTCATTTCCAAGTATCTATAAACCCTATATTGACCAAACTTGCATGGATGATACATCTAAGGATGTACACTACTGGACTTGCTTCGGATGCTGGATCTGACCTATATTTTCCGGATGAGTAACCAGGTTAAGGTTTATGGAGCAGATCTCATTTCCAAGTAACTATAAGCCCTATATTGACTAAACTTGCATGGATGATACATCGAAGGATGCACACTACTGGACTTGCTTCGGATGCTGGATCTGACCTAAATTTTTGGGATGAGTGACCAGGTTCAAGTTTTTGGAGCAGATGTCATTTCCAAGTAACTATAAGCCCTATATTGACCAAACTTGCATGGATGATACATTTAAGGATGCACACTACTGGACTTGCTTCGGATGCTGGATTTGACTTACATTTTCCGGATGAGTGACCAGGTTACAGTTTTTTGAGCAGATGTCATTTCCAAGTAACTATAAGCCCTATATTGACCAAACTTGCATGGATGATACATTTAAGGATGCACACTACTGGACTTGCTTCGGATGCTGGATTTGACTTACATTTTCCGGATGAGTGACCAGGTTAAAGTTTTTTGAGCAGATGTCATTTCCAAGTAACTATAAGCCCTATATTGACCAAACTTGCATGGATGATACATCTAAGGATTCACACTACTCGACTTGCTTCGGATGCTGTATCTGACCTACATTTTCCGGATGAGTAACCAGGTTCAAGTTTTTGGAGCAGATCTCATTTCCAAGTAACTATAAGGCCTATCTGAACCAAACTTGCATGGATGATGCATCAAGGGACAAACAATCTCAAAACTTGCTTCGTATGCTGGATTTGACTTACATTTTCTGGATGAGTGACTAGTTTTAAGTTTTCAGATAAGTCTATTCCCAAGCCCTATCAGACCAAAATTGCATAAATGTTGCATCTACGGATGCACACTCCTAGATTATTAGTTAAGTGTGGGACTTTGCCTTACTTAAAGACAACATTCGTTGAGGTGAGCTCTGTAATCTCTGATTACCTATGTTTCCTATATATTTCTATGTAAAACTTTGATCCTCCATTGTGGTCCCACTCTACCCCCGGTGGTCATGGTTTGAACAAACTTGAATCAACACTACCTGAGGATGCTTCTATATAAATATGACTCATCATGGCTTTGCTGTTCTTGAGAAGAAGATTTTTAAAGATTTTTCCTATACATTTCTATGTAAAACTTTGATCCTCCATTGTGGCCCCGCCCTACTCCCGGGGGTCATGTTTTGAATAACTTGAATCTACACTACCTGAGGACACTTCCATATAAATATGACCAATCTTTGCTTTGCTCTTCTTGAGAAGAAGATTTTTAGCTCACCTCAACGAAGTTGGGGGAGCTTATGTAATACCCTCGGCGTCGCGTCGGCGTCCCAGGTTAAGGTTTTTGGAGCAGTTTTC